TTTTTTTCTACTGACCTTGCAATGTTGTTTCCAGCTAAAGATAAAGGAGAGAAGAACTTTGCCATGTCCTATGTGAAACTGATGAAAGAAGACGGAACCACTCTGCATGACGGATGCCATGACTTGGTTGTCCTCAAGGTACCATGCATTAGGGCTGCAAGAAGCAAAGGAGCAATGGCAGGATAGCTTAGCGGTTACCAGCTGGGACCCCAGAATCATACTCACCAGGGCCCATAAGCTGTGTGACCTTGGATAAAATCTGAACTTCTTTGGATTTTTCTTACCTCTTCTATGGCCCTCAGGGAACCATTATGAGGATTTTATGAGGCAGTGAATTCACACAGAACACTGGAGAGAAAGGAGTTCAATAAATGGAAATAATGTTATGTAAAGAAAAGGACTGCTGGGCTGGTTGTGGTAGTGCACGCCTTTATTCTCAGTACTTGGGAGACAGGTAGATCTCTGTGAATTCAAGGCCAGCCTAGTCTACATAGTGAGTTCCAGATCAGCCAGGACTGCATAATGAGACCCTGTCTTGACCCCTCCCCCAGGCTTTTGACCCTGTAAGGAATATGCAGAAGACCTCTAAGAAACAGATGGTATACTATAGCTGTCAGAAAAATGTTCAGTTTAGGGCCCCAAATCCTGCTGCTCATCTCACATGTCTTCCTAAATCTCAGTTTCAGGTTTTTTGGCGCAGTTCCAGGGATTAAATGAAGCATGTCATGTGTGGGAGGCAAATGTTTTGCCACTGAGCTACACCTCCAGCTCTGTTTTTTTTCTTAAATTTTTTGGCAGTTCCAGGGATTAAATGAAGCATGTCATGTGTGGGAGGCAAATGTTTTGCCACTGAGCTACACCTCCAGCTCTGTTTTATTTTTCTTAAACAATGTTTTAGTTCATTTCATGATAATATAACAAAATATGTGAGGCAGGCTGCTCTCTAAATCAACGAGGTTTACTTAGCTTACTCACAATTTTAGAGGTTGAAGAACATGGCACTGACATAGCTCAGCTCTGGTGAGGGCTACCTTGGGTGTGTCTTATCATTGGCAAGAGTTCATGTGTGAAAAAGAGATCACATACAAACAGGAAGCCAAACAGAACGGGACCAAGCTCAGGCTTTTATAACAACCCTTTCTCTTTAAGGATGGTCTCCCTGTAGCCCCAGCTGACCTGGAACTCACTATGTAGACCAGGCTGGCCCTGATCTCACAGAGATCTGCCTGCCTCTGCCTCCTGAGTTCTAGGATTAAACCACATCTGCCAAACAACCCTTTCTTAGGAAATAATCGGGTCCTATTAAAATGGCAGTAATCCTTTCCCAGGACAGTGTCCCAACGTCCCAAGGATCTCCCACTGGCCCAACCTCCTCAAGCTTCTGTGGCTGCCGCTCAACCTCCTTTGGCAACCATACTTCCAACACATGAATGCTGGAGACTGCATTTTTATTGCTGTGATGAAAAACCTGAGAAAAACAACATAAGGGAAGAAGGGTTTATTTTGGCTCACACTTCGAGGGTGAAGTCGATCATCTGGGGAAGTCCCGATGGCTGCCGCTTGAGGTAGCTGGTCATAGCACATCCATAGTCAGAAAGGAGGAGCTGATGAATGCTGGTGCTTAGCTCACTATGTCCTTTTTAGTTAGTCTTTGGAGGGCTGGAGAAATGGCTCAAGGGGTTAAGTGGTGGCTCCTCTTGAAGAGCACCCAGTTCAGTTCCCAGCACCCACGTTTCTAACTCCAGTTCCAGGGAAACACCCTCTTCTGGCCTCTTTGGGCATTACACACACATAGTGCACATATATTAAGGTAAAACACTCATACACATAAAATAAAAATAAGCAAAAATTAAAAATACTTTTAAATATTTTCTGTAGTGGTGGCTTGACTTTCGTAAGTTGCCTTATTTTCTGTTTGTTTTGAATGATCCTTCTTTTTCCACTGATTTTAAAATGTAACTTTGCTTGGCTCTTAGGTCATTCCAAATTCTGTCAAGTTAACAACTCATACAAACCATCATATCCAAGTCACAGCAAGCAGTGATGGTGGTATGTGTAGCAACTCAGCGAAACAATATATGAAGGGGACATGTAAGCACTAAAGAGTGAGTAGATGTCCAAGATTATAGTTTTTACTTTCTGAGACTTAGTTCACAGACAATATGGGGAGTGTTTGTCTTGATCTTACCCACACCCACAC